CCCTCCTCCTCCCGTCCTCCTCCTCCCGAACTTCGGCGGTTCAAATATGGGGCCCTGGGAAGTGGGCCCTCATAGGGCCCTAGGGACGACTGGCCTCCAACAGTGAAAGTTCGGCTCGGTATACTTCAGGGCTCTACCCCCGAAGAGCCGATCCTCCCTCCCTCCCCTCCCTCCCTGCCTCCCTCCCTCCCTCCGTCCTCCTTCCCCCCGTCCCTCTCGCTGCCCCTCGTCCCTCCGGCTCCCGCTCGTCAGCCGCCACGCCTCTCCGAAGGGCCACGCTGACCCTCCCCCTGCCCACCCTCGACTCGACGACCCCCTCGGCCTCCTCGTCCGAGTCTTCGGGCTGCTTCGCGCCGACGGCGTCCGCCGCCGCCGCCATGGCCACGTTGGCGGCTGCACCCCCCCAGCGCCCCCTGAAAGAAAGAGGCGGGTGCAGCAGAAGGCGGCAGGAGGCAGGGGGCAGGGGGATGGAAATGACCCAGGACCTCCCCCCACCCATCTGCAACGAGCGGCAGCATCGACGGACCCACATCCATCACAACGGAGCGGTCGACGGAAGTGCACAAACCTGTGCAAACGATGCACGGGGAGCCCGGCACCGAGAGAAAAGAGATGGAAAAAACAGCTACAAGATGACGCCGACGGAGAGGATGAGGAGAGAGGAGGGTGAACTGACAGGAAAGAGCGAACCAGCCAGGACCCGCCGAGGGCTTCGGCGGAGGCCCCTGCGAGGCCACGAGACGCGTGATGGGTTTGCCGAAGTGGGGACGAGCGGGGCGCCGTGCGCCCGCCCCCCGCTTGGGGGGCTTCGGCTGAGACTCCGCACGGGACACGATTCGCGCGACGGCGCGGCGAAATTGACAGGCGGAGAGCAGAGGCTGATGATGCGACGCGTGGCTTCGCAAGGTGCGTGCTCGATGTTGGCTTGATAGATCAAGCAAAAAGAGAAGCGACCCAGTCGCCAAAGTGGCGTCCCTAGTTTTTCCGCCGCGGAAAGCAGAGGCAGGAGAGATGGGGAGGAGGGGGCTGATGGGAAGGTGGTGCGCGGCGCTGCTAAGTCCAAACGAGGGCCCAACACCACAGAAATGGAGGGGAAAAAAGTGTGCGGGTCCCGTGGGTGTTTTGCAAGTGGTGCCGGGATTCTCTCCGATGGCCCAACAGGAGGCCCAAATATCACTCCACTACAACAAAAAACAGTCCCCAGAAGGGCCACGAGTCGGCCCAAGAGGGCTCCAAGAGGGCTCCAAGATGGCCCGAGAGACCCCCTGGACAGCTTCAAGACGGCCCAAGAGAGCTCCAAGATGGCCCGAGAGACCCCCCGGGCAACTTCAGGGCGGCCCTGCATAGGGCCCCAAGAGAACCCCAATACGGCCCAGAGAGAACCCGACGGCCCAAGTGCGCCCCAGATTGCGCCGAAGAGCTACTCGGCGCCGAGCGAGGCGGGGAAGTGAGAAGGAGAAGGCCTTCTCAGAAGGCGGCGGGACTTCTGAGAAGTAGTTCTGTCTTCGAGGGAGGCTTAGAAAACTTCTCAGAAGGCCAGGGAACTTCCGAGCCTTCTGAGAAGGCCTTCCCCTTCTCACTTCCCCCCCTCGCCCGCCGCCGAGCTACAGGACGGCCCAAAAGGGCCTTGGGTGGCCACGACGAAGGCCCAAGCTAAAAGATCCGACAACAAACCCAGACCAGCCACCCGACGGATCCACAGGGCCCTTCCCCAGCCTCCCACCGGTGGCTTCCCAAACGACTGGGGTAACACGCAGTCCACTAACATGGCTGGACTTTCGGCTGACAGTTCGCCACACAAGCGACTCCAGAGGCAGAAGGCGGCGCTGACTCGCAGGAGGCGTCTTCGACACGAAAAACGTGACATCTCACTGCTTTCCATCCGCTTATAACCTGCCCACTTACCACTGCCGGCGCTACTATGAAATATGATATGGCATGCGGCCAGGTAAGTCTCGATGGCGACGATCATGGTGAAAGTAATCACCATCATCACCATGGTTATGATGGTATTTGCGTTAATGGAGGCATGCGCGCTATAATATGATCGCGTACCGTCCAAACCAAGCCAGACGTGAGTAGTCGTGCTTGTCGCCCCTGTAGCACAAGCACTATAGCATCGAGACTGTAGGCAAGCAGATGCGGCTTACCAGCCAGCCAGCACGAGTTTCGATAATTGAAGAGTTGTTCGGATGTTTCGAACATCGTTTCGTATTCCCGTGCTTGACTGGAACTAAACGGGTCGAAACGCTGGACAAAAAAACAAGCCAACCAGCCGCGGGACGGTAATCGAAAATATGCATGTCGTTTCTTCTCGAATATTGTCCCGACGTCTTGTCCAATGCATTCACACAGCGAGGTACCTTTGGCCTGCTTTCCACCGTGTCCCAGCTGTCCAGGAGTCCCCTGTGGACGGCCCTCGGATGGCTCTCAGCAGGAACCCCCAATGCGGCCCAAAGATGAGCCCGACGAATACTATGGAAAACCATGGGTCTTGGGAGCACCGCAAGCGGAGGCACTGATACTGATGCTGGTGATGGTGCTGGTGCTGATATGGGTGGTGCTGCTGCTAATGCTAATGCTGTTGCTGCTGCATCCGCGGTCCATGCTCTGTGGCGCACAACGTTCACAAGTGCCCTGTGACCCACCGCGCCTTATCTCGACTCTGCTGAAGTCGGGGTCTGCTTGGACACGTGATCTTCTCCGGCGCGCTACGAGTTCGGAGACCGCAGCACTTGTCTGCTGAGGCCGCCTGGACAGTGTGCAGAACGATCTGACTCAGCTGCGCAGGACATCCTGCCTCGACGCGTCGGTGGGAAGGAGGTTCAGCTTGCGGGGGGACAGTACCGACAGGAGATCGGGGTGGAGTGGGCACTCCGGCGTTCAACAGCGCGCCCTCCGCAGCTCAAATTAACGAACCACTTTTTCAGGCCACTCCGGACACGCAGCAGTCCCGAGTCGCAGCACCCCTCGCAGCCGACACTTCTCCGTTCCCTCGGCGCTCCCGCCTCGGGCTGCGTGGCGGCACCGTCGGCGCAGATCGGGCCCTCCCCGGTGTGCGACCGCAGGGCACCAGTGGACAGATCTGTCGCCTTCCTCGAGGGCGGGGGTGTTGTCGTGACAAACTCCTTGCGCAGCTCCCTGGCCTGATCCTCGAGAACCTTCACCGAAGCACGAGCATTATGGTGCCCGCCAGCTGCGATAACGGGCAGTTCGGCGGAGAGCTCCACGTCCCCCACCAGGAACTGCGTGAACTCCTCGAGCGAAATCTTGCCGTCGTTCTTGAAGTCCGCCTCCTTTAACAGCTCCTCGACCTCGGTACCCTCGAAGGACTCCCCGAGCACCGTCCTGAGGTCCTCAAGCGTGATAGAGCCCGTGTCGCTTTTGTCGAAACGGCAGAACGTCCGCCTGATCAGCTCATCGTGCATCACGATGCGAGTCGACACCATGGCAGCCAGAAACTCTGAATACTTGATGTGGCCCGTCTTGTCCACGTCCAACGCATGAAAGCAGGCCCTAGCCTGCTCCTCCTCGACGCCAGACTTCTTCAGCGCCTTCATCATCTCCTCCAGCGTGAGGGTCCCCTGCCTACTCTCGTCGATCGCGGGAGGCAGACAAAAACAGCCGCCACTTCAGCCTCGCATGTTTCTTCACACGGTCCCCCGCACACATTTCCCCCCTCCTCCTCCTCCTCTTTCTCGTCCTCCTCCTCGCCTCTGGTCCTCGCGGTCATCCCTCACTTACTGTTGCTCCTCCTCTTCCTCATCATAATCATCATCACGATCATCACGATCATCATCAGCAGCATCAACAACAGCAGCACCACTACCACCATCGTCCGCATCCTCATCCTCATCTTAATCTTCCTCATTCATCTGTATCTTCATCATCATCCTCATCCTCACCCTCACCCTCACCATCACCATCACCACCACCACCACCAACAACACCACCACCATCATCATCATCATCATCATCATCATCATCATCATCATCATCATCATCAGCAGCAGCAGCAGCAGCATCGTCATCATCATCGTCATCATAGTCAGCGTCATCATCATGATCGTGTTATCCATCTTCATCCTCATCGTCATCATCATCAGCAGCAGCAGAATCCTCATCATCATCCTCGCCAGCATCATCCTCATCCTCATCCACGTCGTCATCGGCGCCATCATGTTCGCCAGCGTGGACCCCAAGCATTGGTTTTCGCACCCTCGATGGGCAATCGATGCTGTGCAATGTTCGCGTGGTGCGATCTACGCAGCGCAATCTGTGGTGCGAACTAAGACCTGATAGATGCACGACCAATCCGTATATGATGCTCTCTATGCTGTGCAAACTATGCGGCGCAAGTTATGCAACGCAAGTTATGCGATGCACAGTATGTGATGCAATAGACGTGTTGCAGTTCACTCGATGCAGCCCAATGGCGTGATTCCAGCTACAGGGAAATAGGCTTCGCGGCGCTGCTCCTGAAACGCCCGCCAGCCCTCGCGGCGGCCACGGGCGCCCACGGTCGCTTGAAGGAACCGGAGACGCCAGCCACCGCACAAACCCGGGCATCCTGTCGGCCCACGCGCGGAGCGGTCACGAGGCGGCCACGGGCACTCACCGGGCGAAGACACCTGGAGGACCGCCAGCCGCGCGGCGGCCACGGGCGCCGACCACGCACAACAGACGCCCGCCCGAAGAGGCCCCCGACAGGGCTCGCGGGGCGCGCCGCCCGGGCGGCGCGGGCCGTGCAGCAGGCCCCGCCCGCGCGGCAGCAGGGGGGCGGCTGGGCGGCGGCCCGAGAGACTCGGGCGGCGGCCCCGCGGGGGGCCGTGGGGCTCGCCAAGCCAGGAGCCAGGGACGCTGCGGGCTCCACGGATAGGAAAAACAGTCCCCCGTGGATCGGTGCAGACGACCCCCTTGGGCTCGGGCTCGCGCGCCTTCGGAGGCCGTCGGCTCGGGCCCACCGCCCGGCCCGACGCGGGCTGGCTGCCAGGTCCCCGCATGCCGGCCTCAGCCGGCAGGGGGCACTGCGGGCAGGCGGCCCGTCTGGCTGGCGGCCCCCAGCGCGGGCGTCGTGGGCGTCTGAGGTGCCTGCCCTCGTCGCCCTGGCCCTGGGGCCCCGCTGGGCCCCCGTGGGCCCAGCGGAGACCCAGGGCTGGGGCGTGAATCTAGCAAGGCGTCGATGAGCATCGTTCCGCGACCTGAAGCGAGCACCCAGCCGTCAGCATCGTCAGCATCGTCATCATCATCAGCGTCATCATCATCAGCGTCATCATCATCATCATCATCATCATCATCATCGTCATCATCATCATCATCATCATCATGATCATCATCAGCATCATCATCATCATCATAATAATCATCATCCTCATCATCATCATCATCATCATCATAATCAGCATCATCATCAGCAGCAGCAGCAACAGCATCTGCATCAGCATCATCAGCATCAGCATCATCATCAGCAGCAGCATCAGCATCAGCATCAGCGTCATCATCAGCATCAGCATCAGCATCAGCATCAGCATCATCATCAGCATCAGAATCAGCAGCATCAGAAGCAGCAGCAGCATCATCACCATCCTCAGCAACAGCAGCAGCAGCATCCTCATCATCATCAGCATCATCATCAGCAAAGCAGCATAATCAGCAGTATCATGATCGTCATCATCATCATCAGCAGCATCATCAGCATCATCATCAGCATCATCACCATCACAATCACCATCACCATCACCCCCATCATCATCATCATCAGCATTACTATCATCATCAGCCGCATCATCATGATCATCAACATCATCATCATCATGAGCAACAGCACTATGAGCGTCAGCATCATCATCAGCAACAGCATCAGAATCATCGAAATCAAGTTCAACATCGTAATCATGATCATCAGCATCATCAGCAGCATTATCGGCAGCATCATGATCATCATAATCATCAGCACCAGAATCATCATCAGCAGCAGAATCAACATCATCATGAGCAGCATTATCATCATCATCATCATCAACATCGGCAGCAGCATCATCCTCATCCTTATCATCAGCAGCATCATCACAATCATCATCAGCAGCAGCATCACCATTACCATATTCATCATCAGCATCATCATCAACAGCATTACCATCAGCATCAGCATCATCATCATGACCACCACCATCATCATCATAAACACCATCATCATCAGCATCATCATCAGAGTCACATTTACCATGATCCGCATCCTCGTCCTCATCCTTACCATCATCATTACCATCAACATTCGAATCATAGTCGTCCTCGTCATCATCAAAATCATCAAAGACTTCAGCATCCTCGTCCTCCTCATTATCATCATCGTCATCATCAGTAGCTTCATCATCAGCATCGGCAGCATCATGATAACAATCATCGGCATCAGCATCATCATATACATCATTACCACCAGCATCAAGATCATCAACATCGTCATCATGATCATTCCCGCTCGCTCCGCTGCATAGCAGTCGTCTCGGGGCCGCGCGCGGGACCGCGCGCGCGAGGCTAAAGGGGGGGGGCCCGACGCGCGCCTGCCCCGAGCAGCGCACTCAGGAGGCGACCCTCAGGGGCGGCTCCCGGACGACCCGCGGGTCGTAGCAGCGCCGCAGGCTAGCCTTGGTAAGGAGGGAGAGGTGGGTGGGGGCCGAGAAGCTGCAGGACGCCTGCGGGGCGATCGCGGCGGGGATAAGAGGTGGCATCCCCGCTCGCTCCGCTGCGTAGCAGTCGTCTCGGGGCCGCGCGCGGGACCGCGCGCGCGAGGCTAAAGGGGAGAGCCCCGACGCGCGCCTGCCCCGAGCAGCGCACTCAGGAGGCGACCCTCAGGGGCGGCTCCCGGACGACCCGCGGGTCGTAGCAGCCATACCCATGCTCAAAGCCCTTGCGCAGTGACAAGTCTAGAGCGGGCGGCCGCGAGAACGAAAGGCCAGGCGGAAGGACCCGCCGACAGGAATCGCGCGACCAGGTAGTCGCCAACGCTAGCGAAGTACTCAACCTGTTCCCGCGCGGGAGCAGGGAGGGAGGCAAGGACAGTAGAGGCGGCGGCGGCCTGCAGATATCGTTCGGCGCTGGAGGCTTGCCTCCAGCGGCCGCGCCAGAAGACGCGAGGGACGTCTTCGGTGGCAATATGAAAATCTGCAGCGCCTGAGCCTCGAAGGCACGCGGGGGCCATGTTGAACCCCGCGGGGGCTTTAGCCAGCGGGGCGCCTAACGCACTTAGTAGATGGTTCCACCGAGTATGGGAGCCGCTCTGGCCAAAGGTAGGGAGCGGATCGGTGGGCCCCAAATGCCGAAACACCAGCTCCATTATCTTCACCGTTGCTCTGTCCGAACAACGGGCGTGCTGAGTCGGATAGGTCCGACGGGTCTTCGGAGCAGGGATCGACAGGAACGCATCCCCGTCGGCTTCCAGCCTGTCGCACTGAAGCGACAGATCGCAGCGCCGCGCATTGAGGACCTCCCCAGGCCGCAGAAACATGGTGAAACCCATGAGCAGCAAGGCGGCCATTTCAGGCCAGCCCCACGCTAAGCACAACCCGACCATGGCCCGCAGAAGCGCTCTAGGGAGCGGCGGGCGGAGGCGCGGAGGCTCGGCGAGCTTCCACTGCTTCGCAACGTCCCACGCCTCCGTCAGGAAGGCTTTCCAGTGGGGGTGGTTGGCCTGCATGGCCAAAATCGCATGGACTAGAATGTAATGCGGGAAACCCGCATCGTAAAGCCACACACCAAAGGTGGCAAGGAATCGAGCCAAAAGGATGCCGCTGCGGTACAGCGTCTGGGGAGGGACCCCAGTGTGCTCTTCGAGCCACAACTCGAACGCGTCAAGCGATCTCGATCGGCGCTCCACGTAAGCGGGAGTAAGATAGGCGTCACGAACGAACGGCGATCGCGGTCCGCGAATGGGGACGCTAAGCCCCAGGCTGCCAGCCGCAGCCGCCTCTGGGGCGGCGTCCACGGCGCGCACGCAGACCCCGCACACGCACCAAAGGACAGCGGCGCGTGCGAGCGGGCCGCTGGGGCGCCCTTCCATGCCCAGCACCGCGCTGCGCTCGCGGCGCGAGCGGTAGAACGGCGGCAGGCACTTGGCGACGATAGGTCGCTCGACGCCAGAACGGCGCGCGAGATCAGCGCGGACCTCAGTGTAGTCCACTCCTGTCTCGCGCACCGCGCGGCGGGCCTCTGCCTCAATCTGCGAGGACAGAGGCGTCGGCCACGCGTACACTCCTGTCTCGCAGGCCGTCGCCCACGCGATGCTAGGAGCTGCGCTAGCGCGCTGCCGCGCTGGCGTCCATCCCAATGGGTGTGGGACGCTGGAGATAGCGTTGAGCCCAGCCTGCCAGCGCGGTGGCGCGCCCCCATCGCTGCTCCAAAACGCGGGAGGCGGGGCGGAGCCATCCGCGGTGGCGTGACCTAGCATGTCAAAAAGGCAGGCTAGGGCAGCAGCCTGGCGGCGTCGGTGCACGTTCGCCCCGAGGCCGATGCCGCGCACTGCACCGGAAGCCATGGCCCGAAACTTCGCCGGGACAGTGCTCGCGTCGACGGCTCCGGAGACCAGCGTGAGCCAGCTCGGCTCAGCGACGGGCGCAAGACCCTCCGGGCCGAAAAGGCGGCCGTAGGTCAGCAGGCCCTCGTGCAAGCAGGCCAGCGCGTCGTCGCTCTTGGGCTCGTTGAGCCCATCCGGGCAGAAGTGCTGCAGCCACCAGACTGCGTTCTGGCACAGCTCAACCATGGCGGGGTCGTCCGACGGGTAGTCGACCACCACCACGGGTTCGCCCCCGATCTCGACGCGCCAGCCGAGGGCGCCTGCCGCACCAGCCGGCAGGGGCGGGCCAGGCGGCTCGGGCGAAGAGAAGCCGCGATCCCGATGACGCTGAGCATGTGCCGCGGCTGCGACCGAGCGCAGAGTAGCAGCTGGCCGCGCAGGGGATCGCGAACGGGCCGAGGGCGCCTGGGAGGCGGCCGCTCGGGCCGCACGACGCCGCTTGCGGCGAGGGCGCGGGCGCCCAGCTGCGGGTGAAGCTGAGGCAACCGCGTCGGGCGGGGCGTCGGAGGCCGCGTCCGAAGCGGGCGGCGTCGCAGGAGCCGGGCGTGCTGGCGCAGCCTCGGCGGCTGGACGGGAACCCTGCAAGGTCGTAACGGCCCTGCTGGAACCCGCCTCGCCTGCCGAACGTGCGGGGGCACGGGGCTCGGCGGCAGGCGCGCGCCCAAGTGTGGCGGGATCAGCGCCCGCGCCAGGTGAGCCGCCGCTGGTAGCGGCTGCCAGGGACGTCGCGAGACCAGGGAAGGCTCCTGACTCGCTGCCCAGCGAAGGCCGCGCACCAGGGCCAGCCGTGGCTGCAAAAACAGCAGCAGCGCCCTGCGCGAGGGAGCGCCGGTAGCACCATCGCGAGTGTGCGGTAATGGCGACGGCACGCAGATGACCGTCGTCGGGGTTGGCTTCAGCAGCCTCCAGGGCTACCACGAGCGCGCGGGCGGCTACCGCGACGTTGCGCGCGCGGCGGCCAGAGTCGGCTACGCCAGCACGCGCATCCGCGCGAAAGCGACTCCCCATTGTGGCAAAGGAAGCCCGAGCCGCGCGCTCAGGCAGCGGGAAGTGCGAAGCTCGCTGCGTGGCGAATCGAAGGGCCACCCCCGGGTCGCTCCTAGGAGCGGAACGTGAGCGCGGAGGCCTGGACGACCGACGCGCGCGGGTGGCAACCACCCGATGGCGGGACCGAGCGCCGCCCTCAGGGCCAGGCGCCCCCTCGGGCGTCGGCGGAAGCGGTGGTCCCGCGCGGTCGCCGCCTCGGGAGCGCGACCGCTCCGGGCGGTGGCCACTGGCTCGGGCCCGAACCTCGTGGGACACCGTCGCCGCGGGCCAACTCGCACCGGAGGAGGCGGAGGCGGCGGAAGTGGAGCCCGCGCTGCAGGCGGGGCAGGCGGCCTCGGCGCAGGAGGGCGCGGGCACGCCTTGGGCCCAGCACGCGAGGTCCCCAGAACGGGCGGCGGAGCTGACGCGGGCCGCGTCGCCGGCCTTTTCGGAGGGCAGGCGCGGATCAGGCGCTCAGCCGCCGAGAGTGGACGTGCTGAGGCCGACCCAGCCGCCTGGCTGGCGCCTCCTCCACTGCTGGCCGCGCGCCTCGGGTCGCGAGGCGGGCCGCGCCGCGAGGCGGACCCAGGGGGCGGACCCGGAGGCTCAGGTGGCTTCGGGTCGCGCGGGTCGCGCTCCCTGAGCGGCGAAGCGGTCCGCCAGGCGGGGTTGGGGGCCCCTCGACGCCGGGGGACCGAGCCTCAGCCTCGCCCCCGAAGGCGGCGTCAGCGCTCGGAGAGCGATCAGCTCGCGAGCGGCTGCGCCGGGGGCGATCCGACTCCTCTGGGCGGGCAGCGTACAGCCTCCGATTGGCCGCTCGCCTGGCGGCACGCCCAGGCCGAGTAGGCGGACCCGCGGGGCCTTCCAGGGGAAGAACGGCACCGCGGTCGGCGGCCGCCCGACGGCGCTGCTCGCGACCGCCATTCGGCCGAGCAGGGTCGCCCCTGCGGCGGCGCGACCGAGAGACGTGCGCCTCTAAAGCTTCGGGGCGAGGGCCCAGCCGCTCTCGCACAGCGCGCGCTTCACGACGGGAGAAGGTAGGAGGCACCTCCTGGTCGGCGCGGGCGTGGGCCCGAGGGTCGGCGGCGAAGACCGCCTCGTGCTGGTCCAGAGACGGGCCCCCGCGGGAGGGGATCCCATCTGGCGCCCGCGCCGCGAAGGCTTCGCGCCCGGCGCGAGCCTGAACCTCGCCTCGGAGGGGAAGCCCCCTCGGCGTCGAGCTGAACCGCCGAGCCAGCTCGTGCGGAGCTGTCCGAGGCTCCCCTCGGCTTTCCGCCTGCGCCGCGGCGGTGAGGCGGCGCATGTGGATGCGCTCAGCCATCCCCGTCGCCAGGTCCCGGCGGGCACGAGCCCTCGCTGCTGGGTCGTGCAGGGGGTCAGCGACGACAGCCCTCTGGATTGCGCTGCGCGCCTCCCTGATCCCCCCGAGGTTCGCGGCAGCACGCGAGGCGACATCCTCGGCTACAGCGAGCGCCTCCGACGTGGGCCTAGCCGCCTGCGGCTCGGAGACCCCCGAGCGGCGAGTCGGAGGGCACGCGGAGCCGTCCGTGAGCTGCGAGCCCGCACGGATCTCGCTCCGCGCGGAGTGCACGCGATCGCTCAAGGCGTCGTCGAGGGAGGCCAGCATGTGCGTCACGCCGACTGCCCGCCCGCCGCGGCCTTTGCCCTTGCCCGCGGCGTGGGCCTTGGCCAACGCACGCGCCGCTGCACCGCTCCCCGCGGCAGGGTCCGCGCCGTCCGCCTCAGCCTGGTCGGCCTGGAGGAGGACGTTCTTAGCCTCAGAGAACCTCCTCCAGCGGGTTAGGTCACCCGTAGGCTTGCCCGGGTGGAACCGGCTGGCCAGCACGCGGAACTGGCGCTGGATCGCGGAGTGTCCCGCGCCCGCACGGACCTGCAGCAGGCTGCGCGCAGCCGCTAGCCGCGGGGCGGCGGCAGGTCGTCGGACGGCCCTAGCGTCCGAGCCCGTCACGGCGTCACGGCCGTGCGCCGCGCGCATCGAGGCCAGATCGCCGGGGCCGGGCACGGCGGCCAAAGTGGCCCGGCGCATAGGAGCACCGGGAGTCGCATGCCCTGCGTCGTGGCCCGCCGCGTGCGCACCCTCCGCGCCAGAAGCCTCAGCGTCGGCTGCTGGCGCGGCGGGTGCTGACGCGCGGCTGCGGTAGTCTAGCGCGTTGATCGGCCCACGGGGCCGAGGGGCGCCTTCGGAGGCGCCCTCGCTGGCAGCCGAGGCGCCGCCCGCCGAAGCAGCAGGCTCGGCGGCACCATCGCTGCGGGCGGCCATGCCCCCCGGGTGCTCGGGAGCGCGGCCGCCCTCGCCAGTGCTCGAAGAGCCACTAAGCGGCTCTGCGGATAACGCAAGTAAGACTAACCGAGCCCACAGGCAGGCAGGATAGCAGGAGGCGGCGTCGGCCTCCGCAATGACATCAAAGCGCGACGGGCCCCCTCCCGAGAGGTCAGTCAACCAAGCGGGCTCGACGCGGGAAGGGGGGCGAACTGACCGACCTCGAGTCGGGTCGTCGGCGCGACGCACATCCGCGAGCACATAGAGCCCCCCCATATACAAGCCCCCCCCCCCAAAAAAAAATGTAGGGGAGCGCAGTGCTGAGCTCATGGGGCAATCCTGGGGAGCTGCTCCTGCCGTGCGCTGCCGCACCCAAGGCGACTTGCGAATCCAAGAGCACCGCGATCCTGCTGTCAGGGGTGCGGATACAGCAATACTTACACAAACTCTTGTACACAGTTGTCTCAAGAATGTTAATGTGACGAGGCACTCGGCACTGCCATTTATAGACCGAACGAAAGCGCAGTGCCTCGCACAACTCAGTGATCCACCGCGGCGCGACGGGGCGCTCCAGAGAGGGCATGCCTATCATCTGATGCCAGGCTGCTAAAGTCGCGCCCACCTCCTCGCCAGGTCGGCTCAGAACAGCAAGAAGACCATCGTCGTACAAGCGAGTGTGCCAGCCGCCGTGCTCAGAGCGGCGCCAGAGCTCCGTCGCTAAAGGCGCGGCGACTCGGCCACTGACGACGCCGCCCCAGCAGAGCGAAGCGCCGGTACCAAAGACCTCGGGGTGATGCTGCCCCCGAAGGTCCGTCATAGCGACGAAGGCAAGGTAAGAACACGCCTGAAGCTCGCCCCGTACCGAGGGAGGCAAAACGTACTCGGCGTCATCGTCAAGCGATGAAATAAACGCATAAATGCGCGTGAATAGGGAGAGCATGGGGCGGCGGTACAAAAACACTTGCACCCAGCAACCCGTGAGCGAGCTAAGGAGAGCCCGAGTGCTGCGGCCAAGGTACACCTGAATGAGGGTCAGGCGACACAGAGCCACCGTGCGCACGAGGGGGGCACACACAATGCCTATGCGGCCTCCCACATCGGCCCCCACTACCACGGTGTGGGACAGCCCTCTGACGCGCTTGCCAGGGTGTTGGATCAGACCCACACGCGGGTAGCCAGCATCGCATGCCTCAAACACGGCACGATCGCGACGCTCAGGGGAGTTGGGATGAGGAGCAGAGCCCCGCCAAGACAACTTCTGAAACCCCGTGTGATCATCTATGTTAAGCATCTCCACATATGGCCCACGCGGAAAAGGTTGTCTGTGGATCGCCTGCTCGCGCGCGCGGAGCGCTCCGAAGCTCCGCAGAACGCCCTCATAGGCGGAGCTCGCAATCTCAACCGCCATGTTGTCGCCCATAGCGAGGGCGTTGAGGCAAGGGCTGACATCGAGCCCCTGGAGCTCGGGGCGCCAGGCCCGAAAGGTCCGAAAACGACTGCTCGGGAGACGCACTCGCAGTGCGTTCCGCCTGGCCCGGGCAGGCGGTACCCGGAACGTGTAATAAAATTCACGAAGGTCATCGCATGACACAGCGAGCCACTCGCCTGGAGCCAACCCAAGGCGACAGAGCAGAAATCCCTGACCCAGCCGCTGAATGCTGGACGAGATGCTCTGACATCGACTGTTGACCACAGTGGGGTTCAAGATCAGCCGATCGTGATGCTCGTCTTTAGGAACTCGAAAAGCCCCGCAGGCCTCGTCCCAGACAAGGTCCGAGGTGGGGGTGAGATATAGAGCTCCACAAGAGTCCCATTTCTCCAGGAGGGCCCAGAGCTCCGACCTGTCCATATGCACCCGTGCGGGTGGCATCCCGTCGGGCCAGGCCTCTGGAGGCCGACGCATGATCTCGGGATCGTGAAAGGCAGAGCGGACCACAGGGTCGGCAAGAAACGGGGTGAGATCAAACGAGGGTAAATAATCCCACTTGACGCGGTCCGCCCGGACCCAAAGGTCGAAGGGCTCGGCCTGAGTGGAGTCCCAGCCCGCCGCGGCAGCAAGCGAATCGACCTAGGGAGTCGCGCTGACGGGCAGGGTCCGCATGGGGGCGGGCACCTGCGAGGAAGAGGTGAAGGAGGCCTCTAAAGCTGCAACGTGGGTAGCCAGACCACGGAGCGAGACCTCAGTGGAGTCGAACTTGGAGAAAGCCCGACCAAGGTCGCTCTTGCCACCACGGGCAAGGCGAACTGCAATCCTGCACAAGCGTTCCAGACGCTCGCGAATCCCCTCCTGGCAAGGAGTAACCGTTTCGCGGACCTGAGCTTCGGGAGGAGCGAAGCTAGGATGTCCCAGCGTCAGCCAGTTGAGAGCGACAACCGCATGCTGAGACAAGATCCGCGCAGCCCGACGGATCCGCCAACGCTCCCGCGCCCGACCCACCAACGAGGAGGGGGGCGGCGGCAGCGCTGGGGCAGGCGGACACGGCCACGGATCGCGGGGCGCTCGCTCATAAGGAGTCCCGAGCCGACGCGGAGAGAGAAGAGCGGGTAAAAGAAGCCAGCGAGCACCGACTGCCCACCCCCGCCTGAGCAAGAGCAGCAGCCCAGTGGGACACGTCGATGTTGGCGCCAGGGAAGAGGCGCGGCAAGGCAGAAAGGTCCAGCACAAAGGGAAGCGGACCCGTTGCAGCCGACGCAGACGGCATGCTGGGCAAGGAAGAGCCGAAGACGGCAGAAGGAGCAGAAAGAGCCTCGGGGGCCGAGCGAGACTCACCATGGCGGCGCGCGGGGCCCCCTGCAAGGTCGTAACGGCCCTGCTGGGACCCCCCGCGCCTACCACCGTGAGACCGCTCAGCCCAGAAGCGCCGCGCTGCGGCAGCGGGCGTCTTGCCAGCCGCCCACAAGCGCGCCCCTCCGCGGGCAGACGCACCAGGCCCAGCCGCTACTCCTCGGGCGGCGGGGGCTTCTTGGGCGCATTGGGCACCTTGGGCTCCGCCTTGGAGGCTTTCGGCTGCGAGGGAGCAAGCTGCTGTCGAATCGCATGCAGCTCCCGCATGTACCCCCCCTGGGCGGACAACCATCGCGGGTCCACCAGCTCCGAGAAAGGGGAGTGGACCTCCCGCCCCGCGCGCAGAGCGGTCGTCCTGGTCGGGGGATCCCCCAGCCCCGTCAGAAACCAGGGCGCTTCCAGCCGTCCCTGATCCCCTGCCGTCTGACCTTCGAACATGCACTGGCAGGCAATCAACGCGTGCTCTCGGTCCGCTCGCCCCTCTTCTGCCGCACGCCAGAGCTCGGCACTGAGCCATGCCATGTGGGTGAGCAGAGGGCGAAGAGCGGCGTTGGCCCCCAAAGGGCTGTGCTCGCGAAAGTATGTGAACATCGCGTGGGGCGTCAGGTCCGCGGGGTCGACCCCCAGCGGTCTTGCGAGGTTCGACCGCATCAATGCCCTGATCTCGGGCCCGTGCTGGTTCAGCGTGTTCTGCCAATCCCGACGGCGTGCGATCCCTCGCATACCTGGGTGCTGGACGATGCCTCCGCTGCCGCTTCCGCCGTAGGTCGGCAGATCCTGAGCTGCCTCGCTCAGCGGTCCCAAGAGCGGGTGAGCGGTGGGCCGCGCGACCCGCTGCTGTTGCCGCAGCGAGGCCTGCAGGCACTGCAGAGCTAGACTCAGGTCCGACGCGGGGGGGGCTCCTGGTAGCCCTTCCGACACCGCGGCGGCCGCCTCGGCGGCTACGCCACCCGCATGAGCGGCCAGGCCAGGCGGCAGCTGAGGCATGGGCGCTATGGGAGGCGAGGCGCCCCCGGGCGGCTGGCCCCACGCCGCCACCAGAGTAGAGGCGGGGGTGGGACGCTGCTGAACGCGGCTGGGCACAGTGGGCGCTCCCCCTAAAATCTCGTCCATCATCGTGTCTTGCTCGGGGGGAACCTGCAGGCCCAGGCGGGCGGCCTCGTCCGCGAAGAGCTGGGGCGCGCCCGCCCGAGGAGGAACGCCAGCCCCTGGAGTGCCGAGCGGCGGACCCTGCAACCTCGAGGCCTGCTCGGCCATCATTGCGCGAATCTCGGACTGGAGCTCTGCGCGGGTCAGAGGTGCTCCGCCCAGATCGTCGAGCGCGGGCCCCGCCACCCGCGCAGACCGCTTGGGCGCGGCCGCACCAGGGGGGGGGTGAGAAGGGCGCGACTCGCGCGCTTCGGCGCACCGCGCCCCGCGCCAGCAGGGGGAGCTGGGGCCTCGGCCTCGGCGCCCTGAAAGGGCTCCGAGTCTGCCTCTAGCTCGGCACCTCCCTCGTCGACTGTCCGGCACGGGGACGCCCGAGAGGCACCTGGAAGAGGCTCCCTGCCAGCGGCGAGCACGGGCCCGTGAATGCGCAACCAGCCGTCCCTGAGCAGTCGGACGCCTGACGGATGAAGCCAGTAGTCGCGGCCGCGGCTGGAGGCGAACGGCACGTAAGTGACGCCGTCGGGCGGTGGCTCGGGAGGCATCGGCCCTAACGACTCGAGCTCGAGTTCGGACACTTCGAGGTCGATAACCAGAATTTCTGCCGCGGTGGAGAGCGCCCGAGACGCCGCCCCTAGCAGGCCTGAGTAACCCCCTCCATCGGCTTCTACGAGGGCAGCGGCACCCCTGAAGGCGAGGGGCAAGGCGAGCAAAATACCGCCTTCGCGGCGCTCCAGAGGAATGGCTGCATACGCGTACTCGTATTCGCCCAGACGCCATCGAGAGTAAGTGCTGGCGCTGGGAGGGTCGAACGCGTGGAGGTCGGGCCAGACGGGCCCTTCTGGAATGGCGGCGTCGGCACCGCCAACGGCAGCAGCCATTCAAGAAGCGAAGAGAAGACAGGCCCCTGAGGGACCCGACGGGGCGCACCCAGACCAGGCAGTGCCTGGGCTGCCCGAGGGCAGAAGAAGAGAAGCTAGCGCCCCTCGGCCCCAGCAGGGCGAGGAAGCACGTCAGGGCGGTAGCCCGCCGCCCTGGCCCGCGCTTCCGCGCGGCGTTCCCCGTAGACGGGGGCAGCAAAAAGTGCTCTGAGAGGATCCAGGCGCACTGCCGGCTGAGGCTGGGGGGGGCACGATAGCGCCCAACCCAGCAGCGGAGCGCAAGCGCTCCGACGCAGCAGCCGCCGCAACAGCAGCAAGCTGCGGTGGCCACCAATGCGGCGACCACGCTAGAGAGCAGGAGGGGCGCCAGCCCACTGCTCAAGTCCACCGCCAGCCCGAGGCAGACGGTGGGCGGCGGAGGCCCAGGGGGCTGGGAAGGACACGTGCCCCCCCCCGCCCTCAGGGCCCCAGCCGAGGGGCCAAGAGCTGCCCGCAGGGGGCGAGCCCTCGTCCCACGGAGGGGGATGGCCAACGAGGCGCTCGTAGAGCACGCCCCGCAGCCGCTGGTAGGCAAGCACCCCGAGTCCTTGTGCGAGGAACTCGAGGGCCGCCTGCATGCGCCAGGGGGAGCTCGGCCGACGGAACCGCGCGCGCGCGTCCTTGTGGGCCGAGAAGCTGCAGGACGCCTGCGGGGCGATCGCGGCGGGGATAAGAGGTAGCATGATCAGCATCATCATCAGCATCAGCACCAGCATCGTCATCAGCATCAGCATCAGCATCACCATAACCATCATCATCGGCATCATCAGCAGCAGCATCCGGTTTATCATCAGCATCATACTACTACTACTACTACTACTACTACTACTACTACTACTACTACTACTACTACTACTACTACTACTACTACTACTACTACTACTACCTACTACCACTACCACTACTACTACTACTACTACTACTACTACTACTACTACTACTACTACTACTACTACTACTACTACTACTACTACTACTACTACTACTACTACTACTACTACTACTACTACTACTACTACTACTACTACTACTACTACTACTACTACTACTGCTGCTACTACTACTACTACTACTACTACTACTACTACTACCACTATTACTAATACTAATACTAATACAACTACTTCTACCAGTACGACTACTACTACAACTAATACTACTGCTGTTGCTGCTGCTGCTACTACTACTACTACTACTACTACGACGGCTACTACTACTACGACTACTTCTACTACTACTACTACCACCACGACTACTACTACTACTACTACTACTACTACTACTACTACTACTATTACTACTACTGCTACTAGTACTACTACTACGTATACTACGGCTTAGCCTACGACTACTACTAATAATACTAAATATAATAAAAATACTACTACTACTACGGCGACGACGACTACTACGATTACTACGACTACTACTACTACTACTACTACTACTACTACGACTACTACTACTACTACTACTACTACTACTACTACTACTACTACTACTACCACTACTACTACTACTACTACTACTACTACTACTACGACTACGACTACGACTAACGACTACGACTACGACTACTACTACTACTAACTACTACTACTACTACTACTACTACGAACTACGACTCTACTACTACTACTACTACTACTACTACTACTAACCTACTACTACTACTACTGACTACAACTTACTACTACTACTACTACTACACTACTACTACTACTACTACTAACTATTACTCACTACACGACTACTAACTACTACTACTACTACTACTACTACGACTACTACTACTACTACTACACTACGACTACTACTTACTACTACTACTACTACTTACCACTACCATTGACTACTACTACTTCTACTACTACTACGAACTACTACTAGTATAACTACTACTACGACTACTACTACTACGACTACTAACTACTACTACTACTACTATTACTACGAACTACTACTACACTACTACTACTAACTACTACTACTACTACTACTACTCGACCTACGACTACCGATCACTACTACTACTCTACTACTAACTACTACTACTACTGCTGCTGCTAGCTAGCTGCTGCTGCTGTTGCTGCTACTACTATACTACTACTACTACTACTACTACTACTACGACTACTACGACTACGACGACTACTAACGACTACTACTACGACTACTACGACTACTACGACTACTACTACTACTACTACTACTACTACGACTAACTACTACGACTAACTACTACGACTACTACTACTACACTACTACTACTACTACTACTACTACTACTACTAACTACTACTACGACTACTACTACGACTAATACTACGACTACTACTACGACTACTACTACGACTACTACTACTACTACTACTACTACTACCACTACTACTACTACTACTACTACTACTACTACTACTACTACTACTACTACTACTACTACTACTTCTACCACAACTACGACTACTACTACCACTACTACTACTACTACTACTACTACTACTACTACTACTACTACTACTAGTATTATCATCATCCTCCTCCGCCTGTTCCTTCTTTTCCCCACACACCCCATACTCGTCCTCTTCTTCCTTCTCCTGTACTCCCATGCTGCGTTCATTCTCTATCCGTCCTGCTGCTTTCCGTCCCCCCCCCCTCCCCCATCACCCTCATCAACCTCCCACCCCATGCCGCTACCTCTCTCTCTCTCTCTGTCTCTCGCTCGCTCTATCCTCTCTATATACATACGTGTGTGTGAATAGAGGTATCTCTATGTAAGCGGTCGGGATGGGCGCCGCCCGCTTCTGCCTCCCAGGATGGCCATGAACTCGTCCCGCACATTGGCCTGCTCCTCGCTAGTCAAGGACCTCGACCGTATTCTCCCCATTCCCCTCCTCCTCCTCCCCCCTTCTCCGCCTCCTCCTCCTCTTCCGCCTCCTCCTCCTCCTACTCCTCCTCCTCCTCCGCCTCACCCTCCTCCTCCTCCTCCTCATCCTCCTCCTCCTCCTCCTCCTCCTCCTCGTATCGCCACCTGTCCAGCCCCCCCCCCCTTGGTTCCTCCTCCTCCTCCTCCGCCTCCTCCTCCTCCTCGTCCTACTCCTCCTCCTCATCCTCCTCCTCCGCCTCCTGTTCATCCTCCCATGCCCCCTCATCATACTCCTTATCATCAACATCGTCACCATGCTCGCTCTTCCTCTCATCCTCCTCCTCGGACTTCCCCTACCCCTCATTATCCCTCCTCGTCCGCAGTGTTAGTAGCTGTCTCATCGGATTCACTGATCCTAGTGCGAATGAAAAAATGAAGATATTAGTAATAAAATAATGGAATGAATAAATAAATAGATACTTAAAAACCTAAATAAATAAATACATGAATACAATACGAATAGCCATCATAAGCAAAAAAACTGAATACTAAGCCTAATAAAAAAAAACAATAATATTAATAATGATACGAATAAGAATTACGATACCGAGGAACCCCACATATGTATAGTATGAATGGAGTGATGCTCGATGAAGTGGAGCATGAAACAATGATGTTGGTGGCCGTTCCCTGCGCATCCCCTATGGTGTCTAGAAAGTGCCACGCCTGCTATGCCCTGCGCCATGGCCAGCATAGACGCCGCGCTCGGGGACCACCCCCTGCGCACCCCCTATGGTGTCGAGAAAGTGCCACGCCTGCTATGCCCTGCGCCATGGCCAGCATAGACGCCGCGCTCGGGGACCACCCCCTGCGCACCCCGTATGGTGTCGAGAGAGTACCACACCTCTTATGCCCTCCGCCATGGCCCGCATAGACGCCGCGCTCGGGGACCACCCCCTGCGCACCCCCTATGGTGTCGAGAAAGCGCCACGCCTGCTATGCCCTGCGTCATGGCCCGCATAGACGCCGCGTTGGGGGACCACACCCTGCGCACCCCCTATGGTGTCTAGAAAATGCCACGCCTGCTATACATTGCGCCATGGCCAGCATAGACGCCGCGCTCGGGGACCACCCCCTGCGCACCCCGTATGGTGTCGAGAAAGCGCCACGCCTGCTATGCCCTGCGCCATGGCCCGCATAGACGCCGCGCTCGGGGACCACCCCCTGCGCACCCCCTATGGCGTCGAGAAAGTACCACGCCTGCTATGCCATGCGCCATGGCAAGCGTAGACGCCGCGTTCGGGGACCACCCCCTGCGCACCCCCTCTGGTGTGGAGAAAGCGCCACGCCTGCTATGCCATGCGCCATGGCCAGCGTAGACGCCGAGTTCGGGGACCATCCCCTGCGCACCCCCTATGGTGTTGAGAAAGTGCCACGCCTGCTATGCCCTGCGCCATGGCCCGCATAGACACCGCGCTCGGGGACCACCCCCTGCGCACTCCCTATGGTGTCGAGAAAGTGCCAAGCCTGCTATGCCCTGCGCCATGGCCCACGTGTGCGGCCGTATCGGGACGTGTGCCTCATGTGGGGAAATCTAATAATAAGGGAAATATCATAAAAAAAAATGATACTGACAAAATCGGAATAATCACAATCATACTCATAATCATCGGAATCATCATAAATTAGAGTGATGATGATGATGATGATGATGGTAGTACGATTGACGGCAATACTGAGAAGCACAAACAATACACTAAACAATGCGCGTGCGCATGGTGATAGCAACGATGATACTAGCAGGCAATAACAACACCCGAAATACTAGCAACAATAATAATGATGATGATGATGATGATGACGATGATGATACCGGTACTCGTACTAACAGCAATTAAAATAATGATAATATTAATAATAGTCGAATGAAGGACAGCTATCATGGTACGAATCACGTATAGCATAACAAATAACAATAGCTTAAATAATAATCAGAATAGGCAGCATCATGGTCATGGGACGAGTCACAAAAAGAACAGTAACATCCATAATGATAGCAAGAGTACCCGTCATCACCATCAACATCATCATCATCATCATCATCATCATCATCATCATCATCATAATCAATACCAGTACAAGCATCATCAGTACCATCATCAGCAGCATCAGCATCATCATCAACAGCATCACCATAGTCTTTATCAGCATCACCACCACAACCACTACCATCATCATCAGCAGCATCATCATCATGAGCAACATCAGCATCATCATCACCCCCACCACCACCACAATTATCACCAGCATCACCACCATCATCACCAGCATCAGCATCATCACCATCATCATCAGCATCGGCCGCCGTGCGTGGAGTTCTCTCCAGGCTCTCATGCGTCCTCTGTTCTCTGTACTCCGGACCCTGGGGTTATAATATTCTAAGGGCTGGGGCAGCAGATTCTCAAAATTCCCAGGCATTCCCGCGCGTTACTGGGCTGCATCGCGTGACTTCCCCAGAAGCCAAGGGGCCCTCAGAACGGGCCAAGAGGGCCCAAGAAAGCACCCAAGAAGGCCCAAGAGGCCTCCAATGCAGCGCAAGAGCGCTCCAAAACGCCCAAGATGGCCCCAAGACGGCCCAAAAGGCCCCAAAGAAGCCCCAAGAGTGCTCCAAGAGGACCCCCAAGAGGGCCCAAAAAGAAGAAATTATTGGTTGTGCGAGTGTTGTTCGATGTGTCTCTCGTTCTCGCGGCGTCGGGCCTCCGACGCTGCAAGATAGCCCAAAAAGCCCCCAAGACCGCCCCAAGACGGCCCAAGAGGCCCCCAAGAAGGCCCCGAGACGGTCCAAGAGGACCCCACAACGGCACAAGAGGCGCCCAAGATCGCCCAAGAGGGCCCCAAGACGGCCCCAAGAGGGGCCAAAGAAAGTGAACACGAGCCGACAACTCGAGCTTTCCGCCCCAAGAGGCCCCCAGGAGGCCCCGAGAGGCCCCCAAGAAAGCCCAAGAGACCCTCTAGAGGCCCCACGAGGCCCCCCAGAGGCCGAAAAGAGGCCCCAGACGGCCCCGAAACGGCCCCCAAGAGGCATCAAAACTGCCTCCATGAGGCCAGCGAAAGGCATCCCACGAAATCCTAACGAACCGAACATACAAGAGGCCTCTAACCCACGACCCAGGCACGGTGGCGGGATGGGCCGAAGGCCACTACATGACGGTAACACGAATGAAAATACTCACGGTAACAAAAAAATACGAATGGTAATAATAACAACAGGAATACAAACTATCCTAGACGTGGTACGACTAACCCGAATACTGCGAATAAGATCACCAATAAAATTGCAGATAAAAGTACTGATAATACGGAAACTGAGCAGGCACATGCTTGCTTTGCTTAACAAAATATGTGTATATATATATATAGATATGTAATAATAATAAGAATAACTAAATGTATGGAATGTGCAAAGACAAAGGAGTCATAATACTGGTGGAATAAGAAAAAGGAATTAGTAGTTATAGTAGTAAAAGAAGTAGTGGTAGTAGTACAGATACTAGTAGTAGTAGTAGTAGTAGTAGTAGTAGTAGTAGTAGTAGGTAGTAGTAGTAGTAGTAGTAGTAGTAGTAGTAGTAGTAGTAGTAGTAGTAGTAGTAGTAGTAGTATAGTAGTAGTAGTAGTAGTAGTAGTAGTAGTATAAGTAGTAGTAGTAGTATAGTAGTAGTAGTAGTATAGTAGTAGTACTAGTACTACTAGTACTAGTACTAGTAGTAGTCGTAGCAGTAATAGTGATAGTAGCAGGAGTAGTAGTAGTAGTAGTAGTAGTAGTAGTAGTAGTAGTAGTAGTAGTCGTAGTCGTAGTCGTGAACGTAGTCGTAGTCGTAGTCGTAGTCGTAGTAGCGGTAGTAGTGGTAGTAGTAGTAGTAGTAGCAGTAGTAGTAGTAGTAGTAGCAGTAGTAGTAGTAGTAGTAGTGGTGGTGGTAGTAGTAGAAGTAGTAGTAGTAGTAGTAGTAGTAACAATAGTAGTAGTAGTTGTTGTTGTTGTTGTATTAGTAGTAGTAGTAGTAGTAGTAGTAGTAGTAGCAGTAGCAGTAGTAGTAGTAGTAGTGGTGGTGGTGGTGGTAGTAGTAGTAGTAGTAGCAGTAGTAGTTCTAATAAATTGTAGTAGTAGTGGAAATAGTAGTAGTTGTAGTAGTAGTAGTGGTTGTAAAAATGTACAAGTAGTCGTACAAGTAGTGATACTAGTTGCTGGTGCTGTAGTAGTAGTAGTAGTAGTAGTAGTAGTAGTAGCAGTGGTGGTGGTGGTGGCGTTGGTAATAAAACGACACAATGGTACAAAAACAAGAACAACAACAAACAAAAAAAAAAAAAAAAAAAAAAAAAAAAAAAAAAAGCAACAGCAACCACAACAATCAGATTAAGACTGTTCGGTTCTGTGTGCCCGCGTGCCATACAATGCCGATATCCCAAACCCTCGATAACCGTCTTGTTCGTCTTCGGCCGTACCTCCTTAGGGCTACACATCTATTTCTTATCTGCAACGCGTACTTGGTGCAGCCTTTAAGGCAGGGAAAAAGAAAACGGATGGAAGGAAGAGACAAGGGGGAGGGAGGACGATGGAGCACGAGAGAGAGTAGCAGGGGAGGGTCAGGAGCAGAAAACACGTGGCAGAACCAGACGGGCAGATCGTGCGGGTAGACCCTAACAGGCGAGTCGGGAAGGCGGGCCAGGCGGCCAGGTCGAGCAGGCGGGTTGCTGAAGCGTCCTGCATGAATCGGAGAAAGTCTCGAGTGATAGCGCGATTCCGAAGTAAATCGTGAGGAAATCCACAGCGAGAGCGTCACTCATGAGTGCCAAGAGCGCGGCGTCTGAAAAGCTCGCGAGGAAGTCCCACGCGAGAGCGCGATTCCTATACAAATCGTGAGGACGTCCCGCGCGAGAGCGCGATTCCAGAATAGATTGTGAGGACGTATCAGGCGGGAGCCGCTGCTACTGTAAACCGGGGGCCAAGGGCGCAGTTTGGCGACACCTGACTTTCCCTTGTAACAAAGGGGGTGCAGGTCCCAGGAGAAGCACCTGAATTGAAAAATGCAATGGTTCCCGGGCAGAGGGGATCAGCAACAATTATGCGTGTAAAGTGACAATTCGACAACCACAACACCAACCACAGCATCAACAGCAGCAACAACTGTCAGACTGTTCGATATGATCTGCTCGCGTGCAATTCAACACGTGTATCCCGAACCCTCGATACCCGCCCTCTTTGTCGGTTTCTTACCTGCAACGTGTGTTGCAAGCAGCCACTAAGGCAAGTGAAGAGGACGGATGGAAGGAAGGGACAAGAGGGAGGGAGGACGATGGAGCACGAGAGAGAGTAGTTTGGGGGCTAAGAGCAGAAAACACATGGCAGAACCAGACGGGCAGATCGTCCGGGTGGACCCTAACAGGCGGGTCGGGAAGGCGGGCCCAGGCAGCCAGGTCGAGCAGGCGGGTTGCTGAAGCGTGCCCCCATGCATGGATCGCAAAGCAGTCTCGAGCGACAGCACGATTTCCAAATTAATCGTGGGGAACTCCACAGCGAGAGCGTCATTCCTGAGTGTCGAGGGCACGGCATCTGAATACATTGCGAGGAAGTCCCACGCGAGAGCGCGATTCCTGCATAGATTGCGAGGACGTCCCGCGCGAGACCGCGATTAAATTGTTAAAAAAATATAATGCGGGAACCGCTGTCATTGTAAACCGGTGCCCAACAACCCAATTTTAGAAAAACCTCACAGTCCCTCGTAAAAAACAAGGTGCGAACCCCGTGAGAAGCACTTCACTGTAAGTTTAAAATAAGATGGTTACCAGGGAGGAGGGATGAACAACAATTATTTGTTGGAAGTGACAATTCGCCAATAACAACAATTCTACGATGCTTCATAATAACGATGATATGAATACGAATATGACTAGCATCTCGAAGCACAATGATAAAGATACTGATAGTAGTGCTACTACTATTAAGAATAAGAACAAATCAACCCGAACAATAAGAAAAATACTAATGAAAAATATAATGAAAACCATAATAATAAAAAGATTGCTAACACCAAAAATAAAAACGATACGAATAATGATAATAATCTTCCTCCTGTTCCTCCTCAACCTCCTGTTCCCCTCCCTCGCTGTGTTGTTTATGTCTTCTCGACGTCATCATCCTCATCCTCATCATCATCATCATCATCATCATCATCATCATCATCATCATCATCATCATCATCATCATCACCCCGCCAACGTCATCATCAACATGACCGTCCTCCCCCGATATCGTTCACCGTTGTGTTCCCGTTCCCTCCTCCTGCTCAATCTGCTCCTCCTCCTCCTCCGCCTCAAGCTCCTCCTCCTCCTCTTCCTCCTCCTACTCTTCCTTACAACGATCATTCCCCTCATCCTCCTTGCATTCCTCCTCTTGCGTTTCCTTCTCATCCTCGTCATCTTCACTGTCATCATGTTCATCATCGTCATCATCATCAGCAGCAGTATCAGCATCATCATCAGCATCATCATCAGATCAACCTTATCATCATCGTCGTCGTCATCAGAATCATCAGCATCAGCATCAGCATCAGCATCAACATCATCATCATCATCATCAGCAGCAGCATCATCAACAACATCAGCATCCTTATCATCAGCAACACCATCATCAACATCATCACTATCACATCCGTGCAACTGTCCCCTCCCTCCTCCTCCTCCTCCTTCTCCTCTTCCTCCTCATCCTCCTCCTCCTCCTCCGCCTCCTCCTCATCCTTCTCCTCCTCCTCCTCCTTCTCCTCCACCGCACCCTCCTCCACCAATCCTTATTCTCCTCCTCCTCCTCTTTTTCCTCCTCCTCCTCCTCCTCCTCATCCTCCTCCTCCTCTTCCTGGTCCTCCTCCTCCGCCTCCACCTCTTCCGCATATTCCTCCTTCTGCTTACCCTCCTACTTCTCATGGGTCTCGTCCACCCGACGCCCGTTTTTCTCCTCCTCCCCCTCCTACTCCTACTTGTACTCTTCTTCCCCGTCGTCCTTCTCGTCGTCCTCCTCCTCCTCCTCCTCCTCCTCCTCCTTCTCCTCCTCCTCCTCCATATCATTCGCCTTATCCTCTTCCTCCTCACCGCCAGCGACCAAGCCATGAAGGACATGCAGACACGCCGGAAGTGAGACGCGTGGGCAAAATCCACCAGCCACCTTGAGGCCACCAGGTTCCGAAGAGACAGGAGAAGGAAGAATCTGGAAGAACGCGGAAGGAAGCAAAGGAAAGAAAGAGGAGGGAAGGAAGGATGAGAGAGGGAACGGGGGGGGAAAGGAGGCAAGAGCAAGGAGGCAGAAGGCAAGAGGGCAGGAGCGAGGAGAAAAGAAGGTGGAAAAGGGGGAAACGCTACACGCGTCCCCTACCTGCATCCCCGACACCGCTGGAGCCACTGCCGACGGGCCAACCCAACATGCAACAACGCCGCGAGACCGATTTCCTGTCGCCTCCCTCCTCTGGCCTCCAAAAAAGCAACGGATCCCGACCCAATGCAGCTACGAGGAGCACGCGGCTGGGCATTATCCTCATAAGTGGCCCGTCACGATAGCGGGCATTCTGGATAATCTGCGCCACGGCCCAGAACCACTAAATCACTGTGATGCGCTGAAAGCCAGATGCGGACGTGGGCGATCATGGCGAACAGGGTCGACTTTGCAATTTTGGCTAGGTCTCAAATTGGACCAACAGCTTCGAAAGGGACTGCATTCGAGCGGCAGACGCAGAGCCCTCGGCCGAGAAGCGCGCTGCAGACGCTGGCGACGTTACATGTCTACTTGGAGGCGGACTTCGAGCTGCGGTGGCTGGAGAAGATCTGCATGCACGAAGCGTCGCGGGAGGGCTTTGCGGCAGCGGTCACGACGGCCATCATCGACGAGATCAAGTCCGAGACCAGCCGGGCCCCCCACTCCCCGTCATGGACGATGCAGGCGGACCACGACCACGCCGACGTGGAAAGGGAAATCGAAGTTGCGGACAACGAGGAGGGCGACTGTATGTCCGCCGACCTCAGGCGCCCCGGTTTCCTTGAGCTGTTTGCTGGCAGCGAAAGGCCATTGCAGGATGTCTTGGCGTTCGCCGCTCCGCTGGAAGGGAGCCTAGAGCGCGCCGAAGGGCATCGAATTCGACCTTCCCAACGAGCCGAACCTCGCAAGACCCCTTCGCAGGCCACGCTGGCGCTGGTCGGGAGAAAAGGACGCGGCGCCGACAAACGGCGCCCGCGGCGGGCCCCTGTAAAGCAGGCCGACACGGCGGCAATCCCGGGCCGATCGACATTCATCTAACGCGACTCGATCTCCAAGTCCTTCACCGCCGAAAAACACCCGCGCACCCCCCCCCCAGATGTTTTTCACGCTGCCGACCAGCCCCGAAACCGCATCTTCGACGCCAGGCCGTTTCTCCTTCTGCCTCCAGCCCGGGTCGGAACGGTTTTTCGCGTTCTCTCGCCGCCTCCGGCCGGCATGGCCCACCTGCCCGATCACCCTGCCCACCTTGTCCTCGAGTCAACCCCCAGCCATTCGGGGCTGGACCTTGATCGCGAGCCCCTCCGTCACGAGGGGGCGCGCGACCTCCCGCGTCAAGGCAGAGCCAGTCTGGACCGCCTGGCACCGCGCCATCGCGCGCCGATAACTCGAGGCCCCATCGCCGCCTGGACGGCCGCCCACCGCCCTGCAGTCGCCGATGGCCCCCGGCACTCCAACGCGGCGCGCCGGTCAAAGCGGCCCTTGGCGATCGGGGTCTGCAACGAGGCCGCGCGCCCCCACTTCCGCCAATCACGATTCCTCCCCTCGGCGGGAGACTCTCTGATCCGAGTCGCCACGCTGCCCCCCCCCGCGACAAGAATGAGCTTTGCGCGACCCAAATTAGCGAGCAGCTTCTTATAGCATAGGCGCAACGCTTGGCGTTGCTCGGCATTGTCTGGCATTGCTTGGCATTGCTTGACATTGCTCGGCATGGCTTGGCAATGCTTGGCACTGCTCGGCACTGCTCGGCATAACTGGGATTGGTCCGCATTGCTCGGCATTGCTCCGCATTGCTCGGCGCTGCTCGACATTGCTCGGCACGCCGGGAAGGGGCACCCGGGGGCCCGGGGAACCCGGGGGGAACGGGCAAAGCAAGCCCCCGAAGCGCCAAATCCTAACCAAGCAAAAACTCCTCACGCACTAAATGGAGAATACCCTCCTCGCCCCTCCCGGCCTACGCCAGCGCCGGCACCGCTTGCCCCTCGCCGGCGGCGCTCCCAATGGGGTCACGAACCGTATGAAAGAGGTGTTCCAGCTTGTGCGATGGGGTACACAACACGAACGAAAACTATAGGTCTGAGTATTAAAGATCGAGCGCGGGCGAGTCCAAGCGCGAATGAATATGCTTATGAATGAATATGCGTGCGATTGATTCTATGCGCATGACTGCGAGCGTCGAGTCGCCTGATGTAAACGCATACGACTGTGAATGGTTTGGGTCTGCCCGACTCTGAGACCTCGTGACACTGAGCGCAGTTTCCGCAATGAGTTTTCCTGGGAACCCCAACGGCGGCGCCCGCGCGCCGCGACGCCAATGCCGGCACGCCCCACACGAGGATCGCGGTTATGTTCCTCCCTCTTTGCCCGCGCACTCCAAAGTTCAAGGCCGCGAGCGCCGCGCTACGCGGAGCCCCCGCGACGCGCGCAAGTCGCCACGAAGGGGTCGCAGTGACGCGCACAGTTCGTCCGCTGTGCGGAGCAGAGAGTGCTTGCAGGCTAACTTATAGCGCGCATGGTTCTGGCCGCTGGGCGGAGCGACGAGGGGCGAGCGAGGCGCTGGGCAAAGCGCAGCGCGGAGTTCGCGCGACGCGCGCTGGTCGCCCCGAGAGGGTCTCAGCGACGCGCGCAGCTCGTCCGCGACGCGAGGTCAAACAGTCGGACAGCCAAGAGAGGGCGAGGCTTGGGCGGGCCGCTCCTCAGGTCAGACGTCGCGGATAAACTCGGTGAAACCGAGTTCCCTGGCGAGGGCCCTGGCTTCCCTCCTGCACCGCTTCGCACGCGCCGCAAACTGCTCCAGCTGCTTCCGCAAGCCCGAATTGGGTGTGCGGGACGCATGCGGGCGGCGGCACTGGGGCCTTCGGTGGAGCTCCCTATGGGGCCAAGAAACGTGCGAGAAGTATGCCGACTTGGGCGTGCGGGACGCATGCGGGCGGCGGCACTGGGGCCTTCGGTGGAGCTCCCTATGGGGCCGACAAACATGTGAGGGGTGTGCCGAAGTGGGTGTGCGGGACGCATGCGGGCGGCAGCACTGGGGCCTTCGGTGGAGCTCCCTATGGGGCCACGAAACGTGTGAAGGGTGTACCGAAGCTGATGACGATGATGGTTTCGATGATGGCGATGATGATGGTGATGAGGATAATAGTGACGATGATGATGGTGATGACGATGATGAGGACGACGACGGTGACGGTGACGGTGACGGTGACGGTGACGGTGACGGTGACGATGACGATGACGATGACGATGACGATGACGATGACGATGACGGTGACGGTGACGGTGACGGTGACGATGACGATGACGATGACGATGACGATGACGATGACGATGACGATGACGATGACGATGATGATGACGATGATGATGATGATGATGATGATGATGATGATGATGATGATGATGATGATGATGATGATGATGATGATGATGATGATGATGATGATGATGATGATGATGATGATGATGATGATGATGATGATGATGATGATGATGATGATGATGATGATGATGATGATGATGATGGCGGGAGGGAGAAGGGGGAGGAGGAGGAGAGGAGGAGTGACGCGGGGCGCTGTCTCGTCAAAACGAGGACCCAACACCATAGGATGGCTGGAAAAGAAATGTATAGACATAAACTTTCGGCGCTCCGCGCGGATTTCTTGGACCTGTGCTGAACATCCCTCCCTGGCGCGCGGAGCGCGCTAGGGGCGGCACCAGAGGCGACGCCGGGGGGGCCCAGAGCGGATTCAAGAAATCCGCGAGGAGCGCCAAAGTTTATGAGGGCCAGGCGAAAGGGAGGGATAACAAAGGGGGAATTTGAGAATCACCTCACGTGGCTGATTTTCCCGGCGCCTCCCGGCGACGGAGGCGGCTGTGCGTCGAAGAATGCCGAAACCAGCTGCATGCAGCAGATTTCGTAACCCCCCCTTTCCCAATCCCCCCCTGTCGTTCCGCCCGATGTATGTTCTCAGCGTTTTTCTCTTCGAATTAAGATGGCTCAAACTAGTTGCCAACATGTTCCAAGAGGCTCCAAGACCGCTCCACGACGGGTCTAAGCGACCTCGGGGCTTCCCCCTGGACGCCTCCACAAGAAGCTGAAAATCCGACCCGAAAACGTACAGGCACGTGCCTAATCGCCACCCCGTCGCTCCAGCTTGGCTCTGGAAGCCTCCAGAAAGCTCCAAGAAGGCCCAGGAGGGCGCCCGGGGGGGGGGCACAGGGGCTCCGAGACGGCATCAAGAGAGCCTGAGAGCGGCCCAAGGGCGCCTCAATGAGGCCTCAGGAGGCAGAGTCAGGGGGCTCCAGGAGGGGGGGCCAGAATGAAGAAGCCCGTCCTCCACGATGGTCAGGAAGGCTCTCGAGACTCCGAAGAGGGCCCCGAGGAGGTCCCAAGAGGGCCCCAAAGACTTCCAAGATGGAACAAACCGAGCCCCCCTTCATACGAGAGAGATGCCAAGATGCTCCCCTATCGAAGGATCTACGACAGCATGTAAGTTTGACAGCTGGGCCTGCTCCGGCTGATCCCGATCTTCGGTTTCATGGATACACCCCTCTTTGCTTCCACTGCGTGCTCCCACACTTCCCTGCTCAATGCAACTCGCCTGGGCATCGTTGCAGGATGGGCTGGTGGGGATGCGCGAAATGTTCTGAAATCCAACCTCGACACGGATGCCATCCGTACCTTTTCAAAACGTTACCGCTCTGGCGCCGCACACATTCGTCGTGAAAGCTTCCCTCCAGCTACCCGGATAGAGGGCGCCACCTTTCCGAAATGTAGCTCTCGCCCCGGCGCCGCGCCCAAGCGCTGTCAAAAACTCCCGAGCTGTTGCACGGATGGAGGTCGGCACGCTCTTGAGATGAGGGCTCTCGCATGGGACTTCCTGACACTGTTTTTGGGTTGGAGAGGGGGGGAAAAGCCGAAGAGAGCAGCCACGACGAACACCCTGCCGATCCACTCGTCCATAGGTCCACCGCGGGCTTCAGGAAAAGAGCTTGGAGCGATACGAACGAACCCCTAAAACGTATCAGCGCCGGCGGGGTGAGGGGAGGGAGGAGGAGGAGGAGGAAGAAGGAGAGGAGCGCGACAGACCCCGGACGGGAACACCTCGAGAACGGACTGGCACTCCCTGAAAACTTCTCGCCGCACGTGCAAAAAATGGTGGAGCACTTGCACGGACGGACGGGCGGCTGCTGGGCTGTCTCGCCTGAGACGCCGCTGGATTGCCTGACCAGAAACGGAAAGCTGCCCCACAGCGGAGTGCTTCAACTCCACCTGGTCGCCTTCCCAGTACAGCCGTGGTCCTATTCTTAGCGTGTGTGTGAGTGTGATTTCGGGCCCTGCCAAGCCGAGGCCGTTGACACGCCGAGCAGCGCAGGGGCGCACGCGCCAAGTGGGGTCGGACGAGGCAGCCCTCCGAGGCACGCTAAGAACCAACCACGCAGGATGCACAGCCAAGTGCAGAGGCCTCAGAGTGCATAGGCGTATTCCCAACTACACGCTAAGAACAGGAGCATGGCTGTTAGTGCTGCTCCCCCACTCATCCTCCTCCTCCTGCTCCTCCTGCTCATCTTCCCCCCCTCCTCCTCCCTCATCCGCCTCCTCCACCCTTCCTCTTCCCCCCCCCACTCCTCCTCCTCCTCCTCCTCCTCCCCCGCCTCATTACCCCCCCCGCTCGGTTTCATCTTCGTCGTCTTCAGGGTCGGCGGCACCGGCCGTAAGGCCTCCGCAATAGGATCATGGCTGCGAGTAGCTCGGAGGATCGAGGGCAGCTGCTTTGCAAAAACGGAGCTGGCGCCAAAAAATGGCCGGCGCGCCGGTCTTCCAAGAGAGGGCGCTTCCGCTTCGCGCAGGGGAGGGAAAAAGAGTACTTGCACGGGACTTGGCCCGGGAGCGTGTATGTCAGCATCTGGTTTCCTCTCGTCATCCTCCTCCTCCTCCTCCTCCTCCCTTCCCTCCTTCTCTTCTCCTCTCCTCCCCTCCTCCTCCCCCCCTCCCTCCCCCTCCCCTCCCCTCCCCCTCCCTCCTCTCCTCTCCTCCCTCTTCCTCCCCCTTACTCCTCCTCTCCTCCCTCCTCCTCCCTCCCTTCCTCCCTCCTTCCTCCCTCTCCTCCCCCCTCCTTCCCCTTCCTCCTCCCCCCCTCCTCTCCTCCCTCCTCCTCTTCCCCTCTCCTCCCTCCTCCTTTCCCCTCTCCTCTCCTCCTCCTCTCCCTCTCTCCTCTCCCCTCCTCCTCCTCCTTCTCGCCTCCCCTCCTCCTCCTCCTCTCCTCCCCTCCCCTCCTCCTCCTCTCCTCTTCTCCCCCTCTCCTCCTCCTCCTCTCCTCTCCTCTCTCTTCTCCTCCCCCTCTCTCTCTCCTCCTCCCTCTCCTCCTCCTCCTCCTCCTCTCCTCTCCTCCTCCTCTCCTCCTCCTCCTCCTCCTCCTCCCTCTCCTTCCTCTCCTCCCCTCTCCTCCCCCTCCCCCTCCCCTCCCCTCCCTCCCCCTCCCCCTCCCCTCCCCCTCCTCTCCTCCTCCTCCTCTCCTCCTCCTCCTCTCCTCCTCCCCTCCTCCTCTCCTCTCCCCCCTCCTCCCTCATCCGCCTCCGCCTCTCCTCTCCTCCTCCTGTCTCCCTCGTTCCTCCTCCCCTCTCCTTCTCCTCTCCTCTCTCCTCCTCCTCCTCCTCCTCCCTCCTCCCCGCTCCTCCTCCTCCTCCTCCTCCTCGCCTCCTCCCCCTCTCCTCCTCCTGCTCCGCTATCATATTCCCTGTGCTCCTCCCTGTCCTCCTCCTCCTCTCCTCCTCCTCCTCCACCTCTCCTCTTCCTCCTCCTCTCCTCCTCCTCCCATCCTCCTCCTCCCCATCCTCCTCCCCATCCATCTCACTCCTCTCCGCCTCCATCCTCCTCCTCCTCCTCCTCCTCCTCCTCCTCCTCCTCCTCCTCCTCCTCCTCCTCCTCCTCCTCCTCCTCCTCCCCTGCTTCTCATTCGCCTCCCGTTCTCCCTCAAGAAGTGCCCCAGGGGCCGCCAAGAAGGCCAACGAAGGACCAACACGGCTCCCGGCAAGGTAGCGAGCCCAAGGCAACCCAACGAAGGACAAGGAAGAGTCCACAAGAGAAAGGAGAAGAGCGCGGACAAACACCTAACGAAAGTCCAGCAGAACCCGAAGCAGGACGGCAAGAGGAGCACACGAGGTTCCGAGAAGAGCGCCGCAAGGAGCCCGACGGAGAGCCCGAGGTCGCGAGATCGCCAGGCTCCGAGGAGGCCCAGCATGACGGCGGCCGTCCGCCCCGACGTGCTGACGCGAAGCGCTGAGAATCGGTTAGGGCTTTCGACACCCCCCGACACACTTGCACATTGTCGCCGAGGCTCAGATTTCGAGTAGCCCGCACAGTTTCAAAAGTGCCTTCGATGAACGGATGCCTCAACGCTGTCTCTGCAGTGAGCCGGGTCGCAGGGTCAACCACCAAGAGCTTATCCACGAAATCCTCAGCTGTCGTAGACACTTTTCCAAATGGCAGCTCGTCCCTGTCGCCAGTACGGATGCGCTTGATCGTCTGGGATCTTGTGGTGCCACCAAAAGGAAAACATCCTGTGAGAAGCACGAACGCAATGACTCCCATGGACCACAGGTCGCACGTTGCTCCGTAGTTTTTGTCGAGCACCTCTGGCGCCACGTAATATAAAGAGCCCAAGGCTATTCCCATGGTCGACTGGTCCGCCACCCAGATTCGGCTAAATCCGAAGTCGATGAGCTTCAAATGATCGCCGCCTCGCTTTTCATATAAGAAATTTTCTAGCTTCAGGTCCCGATGAACTATGTTGTGAGTGTGTAAGTAGTTCACAGCTAGAAGCATCTGTCGCAACGTGCTCGCAGTGACGTCCTCGCCAAAGTACTCCTCCTCGAGCACCCTGTCAAGAACCTCTCCCCCAGAGAGACACTCCATCACCAAGTCCACCTGCTGTTGGCCCCTGTACACGTCGATCAGGTCGGCAACATGCGGGTGATTCATGCTGAGGAAGATCTCAATCTCGCACTCTAACTGCGACACCTGCCTGCTCTTCATTCTCCGCAACTGGAAGCTCTTGACAGCAACGGGCCGCCCCGTGCGCTTGCACGTGGCCCCAAAAACGCTGCCGTTCATGCCGGTGCCGAGAACTTGGGGCGAACAGTCATAGTCATCCTCTTTGCATCTTGGAAGGCAATGGTAACGCGAGTGAATGACAACTTTCCCACACCTATCTTCAGCCCTCTGGACCGCTGCTTCAACAAAACGATGTGGGGGGGCAGCGTCCGCCCTCTTGCATATTCTGGATGGTTGACACCCCATGGCGGCGCAAAATGTTACTTCTCCGTTGAGACACCAGGGAAACTTGGGCTGGCGTCGTCTCGAATACGGCCACACAGATGGCAACGATGGCAACGTGAGGATGGTCACGCATCCTGCTGCCCTTCCGTTTCATCCTCCCTCCTCCTCACTCTTGCCACCCCATCCTCATGCGCTTCCTTTTCTAGAAGAAGAGCAAGCGCCAGAAACATGAACTTTTGGCGCTCCGCGCAGATTTCTTGGATCGGATCCAAGAAATCCGCGCGGAACGCCCAAAAGTTATGTTTATGGCATTTTTGTTATTCTTCGATGTTCTTCATCCAGGTCCTCTGCCTGCACCCATATTCATCCTCGTCGTCCTCTCCCTTCACCCAGTCCTCTTCCTTCACCCATCTTCCTTCACCCATCTTCACCCTCCGTCGTCATACCAGTCCTTTCCCTTCACCCAATCCTCTTCCTTCACCCATCGTCATCCTCGTCGTCCTCATGTTTTTCATCCTCCCCCTCCGTCTCCTCCCCGCTCTCTTCGGGGAAAGAGCAGGGACGGGACGACCACAGGAGACAGTGTTGTTGTTTACTCCGCTGCGCATCAAATTCCTTCGTCGTGCCCAGACGGACATGGACGGAAATGCGGAAGGGGGAGAGAGGAGGAGGAGGAGAAGGAGAAGGAGGAGAAGGAGGGAGGAGGAGGAGAGGGAGGAGGAGGAGGAGAAGGAGGAGAAGGAGGAGGAGGAGGAGAAGGAGGAGGAGGGGGAAGAGGGGAAGAAGGAGAAGAAGGACGGGGAGGAGAAGAAGGAGGACGAGAAGGAGGACGAACAGCAGAAGGAGGATAGCTTGGAATCCACTCGGTATTCTTGTGAGCCTACGCTGGTCTCCAGCCAATTCAAGCTCGGCTGTAGGTGCACCAAACAACCTCAAGTAGCATTTGGGCTACAGCAAAAGGACCTCTTTGGAGCCTTAAACCTTTACCACAGCAATTTTGATGGAGTACCCACGGGGTCCTGAGGTTCAGAGGCAGCTGGTCAGGGAGGGAGTCTGGGCTACTGACCGCATGATCCGGGTGATTGTGAGTGATGATCCGCACAAGTTGGACGTGAATGCTGACGTGCCATTGGGATTAGAGTGGCCAGCCAGCTGTGCTCTCAATCGCTGTCCTACCAGGACAGTGTGCTGGCGACTCTGAGCACTGTGAACGTGATCGTAGGTGGGTCGCTCTTACTCAAAAGGGACCTTGCTCCTTGATCGTTCTGTGTCGTCTCGGCCGGTCATAAAGGATGCTATACAACGATCTGTGGCCCGTACATACTAATTTGTGTACTTCTCTATACATATATATATATATATACATACATACATATATATATATATATATATATATATATGTGTATCGAGATATGTATGTATATGATGTAAGTGCTTACGTATGTATGTATGTAGGCATGTGTGTATACATGTATGTATGTATGTGTTATGTATGTATGTATGTATGTATGTATGTATGTATGTATGTATGGATGTGTGTATGTATGTATGTATGTATGTATGTATGTGTGTATGTATGTATGCATGTATGCATGCGTGCATGCGTGCATGCGTGCGTGCATGCATGCATGCATGCATGTATGTGTGTATGTATGTATGTATGTATGTATGTATGTATGTATGTATGCTTGTATGTATGTATGTATGTATGTATGTATGTATGTATGTGTGTATGAATGTATGTAGGCATGTATGGATGCATGTATGTATGTATTATGTGTGTAGGTATGTATGTATGTATGTATGTATGTATGTAAGTGTGTAAGTGTGTATGTGTGTATGTATGTGTATGTGTGTATGCATGTATGTATGAATGAATGAATGAATGAATGTATGCCTGCATGTATGTATGTATGTATGCATGCATGTATGTATATATACACACACACACCTGTACACGCACTTGATGGTTGGCTCGCTACGCTTCGCCGTCATAATCTTGGTCGCATGGCTCCCCTTGGGACAGCTGCGACCGTCACTGCCGTCAATGGGGAACAGGGGCGGGGAAGAGAGTGTCATGAGCTCCCGCCGCCTCAACACTAATTCGTAGGGTTCACCCGCGGTACCGGGCTTATGGCCATCAGCCTCTGTGTCTCGCAGGGCGGGCTCGTAGGGCTTGGTGAGCACAGGGCTCCAAGAGGGCACAAGAGGCCTTCCAGAGCGCCCCAAGACGGCCCCAGAGAGCCCTGAAACGGCCCAAAAGGCGCCCAAGACGGCCCCAGAGGGCTCCCAGGTGGCCCCAAGAGGGACACAAGCAGGGGAACGCGAACCGAAAAACCAAGCCACCCGCTCCAAGAGGCCACTAGGAGGCCCCCAAAAGAACCACTAAACACCGCAAGAGGCTCCCCAGATGCCTACAACAGGCCCCAAAACGACCTCGAGAGGCATCAAAACTACCTCCAGAAGGCCCCCCGAGAGACCTCCCACGAGACCCCAACGAACAGATAAGGGGCCTATGACCCACAACCCAGCCACGGCGGCGGGATGGGCCGAATGCCATTGGATCCGCCGCCCCCTGCTTGCAGGGGTGCACGGCGTGCTGGATGAGCAGGTTTTGGTTTTGGTTCTTTTTCTAAAAGAACTCCCCAATGGGTTTCGGCCCGTCCCGCCGGCCACCCGCAAATTGCCGAAAATCCGTTTGTCAATGCCCAAAAACGGGCGTTTCGCCCGGGACATCCTCAAAAAATCGCGAAGATGGCCCAAGATGGCCTCCAAGTCCGCCCGAGATGGTCCAAGACGGCCTCCAAAACGGCCCAAGAGAGTCCAAGACGGCCCAAGACGGCCCAAGAGGCCCCCCAGAGGCCTCCCAGACGGCCCAAGAGGCCTCCAAGAGGTCCTCCAGGAGAGTCCGAAGAGGCCAAAATCATTGATTTTCCATTGGTTTTTGAAGGATTTTGGCATTTGCGCCTTTTCGGCTCTCCGACGGCTCAAGACGGCCCAAGAAGCCCCCAAGATCGCCCAAGAGGCCCCCAAGAGAGCCCCATGATGGCCCAAGTGGCCTCCAAGATGGCCCCTAGAGGGCCCCAAGAGGGCCCAAGAGGCCTCCAACACGCCCAAGATGGCCTCCCAGACGCCCAAGATGGCCTCCAAGACGGCCCTGGAGCATTCCAAGCGGGCCCCAAGTCGGCCCATAGAGGCCCCCCAAACGGCTTCCGACGGCTTCAGACGTGCCAGGAACCCACCAAGATGGCCGAAGTTGGCTCGAAGCTGGCCCGAGACGGCCCCACAAATTTCAGCTACGCCAGAAGCCTCCCGCACCCGAGGGTGCCCGCACCCACTTGACAAGGGGTGCGGCACCCCCCGCGCCGTCCAGCCTGGCGGTGCCAGTCTGAGCCGACGCGCGGGGCGCCAGGGATGCAAGTACCCCCAGGAGCGGGAGGGCGGGGCGAAAGCGCGCGCGCCGTCCGCAACGGCGGGACGCAAGCGCACATGCCTGCGAGATGCAAGCACCAGTGCCTGCACATCGCACGACCCCGAGGCGCGCCGCGAACCGCCCCGACGCGATCCCCGCGGCGCGCCTGCACGGGGCGTTCGACGCAAAGCGAGCAGAAGAGCAGACTAGCCACGCGCGCGACGACGCACCCCCCCTCGCGCGCGGGCCCTTCGCGCGGGGCCGCGCGCCGCGAGGCACGTGCCGTCGCTCCCCCCCCCCCCCCCTCGCGCGCGCAGGCCCTTCGCGTGGGGCCGCGCGCCGCGAGGCACATGCTGACGCCCCCCCGCCTCGCGCGCGCGGGCCCTTCTCGTGGGGCCGCGCGCCGCGCGGCGCAAGAAAGCGGGTGGCGGCCCGCGCGCCCAGCTTGCCCGCCCGCGCGCGGGCCAGGCGCGGGCGCGAAATTTGCGCCCGCGCACAACGCAGCACAAGCGAGCGCGCGCGCTTTCGATGGCGTTGGGCGCCCACCACAAATTTCAGCTGCGCCAGAAGCCTCCCGCACCCGAGGGCGCCCGCGCCCACTTGACAAGGGGCGCGGCACCCGCCGCGCCGTCCAGCCTGGCGGCGCCAGTCTGAGCCGACGCGCGGGGCGCCAGGGATGCAAGCACCCCCAGCCAATGCACGCTGGTGCACCGCGCAGCGGCGACGCGCGCGGCACGCGCACCCCTTGCGAAACGGGCGTCGCGCGCGGCGGCGCCGCGGTGTTGTGACACGCAGCGGCGGAGGCGTACGCGCGAGGGCGTCGCGCGACGCCTGGGTCGCCATTGCCTGGGCAAGTTCGTCCTCGGACTCAGCTAGATGCGCCTCGACCACGGCGCCGAGTTCGAGTTGCGCCAAATCGAGGCACGACAGGAACGCGGGCGAGGACCATTCGCCCGCTTGAAGGATCTCGCGCAAGGCGCCTCCCCTCTGCTGGAGGTCCAGTGCGTGCCCGCGCCGCAGGTCGTGCGTGCGATAGAGCGCCGCGTCTTTGACGCCGAGCTGACCGAGGAGAAAGCGCAGCGTGCTCAGCGAGCTGGCCGCGCAAATTTCCGCGAACGGCCTGGCGCCCACGGGCAGGTCCGCGAACCATGCGCCGAGCGCGTGGACCGGGCACGTATTGGTGCAGCGCGCGCACCAGCACGCTCGCTGCAGCACGGACCCGAATTGCTTGTTCTTGCGGCGCGCCAATTTGAGCTGCAGGAGGCCGTCGCACAGAATGAGGGAAGCCCCTGCGCCCTGACGAAAGGCGACGCCGTCGAACGAAATGCCCAGGGCCTCCGAGGGAAGTCGCAAGAGAAACACGTACGTGACAAGAAAGAGCTGCGCGAAAACGGCGGACTCTTGCCGCTCTTTTGCCAGATTT